CAATATGTATGATGTCAATGTCTCTGAAAATAAAGGCTTAATTATACTCATAATAAAGATTGCACTTTTTCGTATAGAACTACACTGAAAAAAAAAATACTTAGATCCAAGAAAATATTTTTTCACATAGTACCAATGGCTTATTTACTTAATATAATCACATTTAGAATTAGATATTTAGAATTACATATTTAGAATTAGATATTTTTACTTAATTTAAGTAAATTATTATTTTTACTTAATTTATGTATATGTATTATTTTTACTTAATTTAAGTAAAGATATCTAATTCTAAATAAATATGTGATTATATATTAAGTAAATAAGCCATTGGTACTATGTGAAAAAATATTTTCTTGGATCTAAGTATTTCTTTTTTTTTCAGTGTATCTTTAGTTCAATGACCTAATCAATTATATTACAGACACATAAAAGCCGCTGTAGAGCAGGCCAAGAATGATCTGGGAAAAAACGGTCTTGAAGGAATGAATAGAAAAATGGGAAAATTGCGGAACGAATTGAAGATTTTAGCAAACAACTGCAGGTTCGATGAGTATTATGTGAAAGCCCTATACATTTCTGTCAAGAACGATGGGATTATACGTATACATATATATAAGCACGAATGCAATATTTTAAAATCTTTTCATTTCCAATCATATAGTTTCAGGCAACGTATAACATTCATAAGATTAATAATAAATTTTACGAGAAAAAATATCTTCTTTCAAACAAAATCCTCTTTTAAATCTTAAAGAAATTCGAGAAAGTAAGTTTAAAGAATAAAATCTATTCCATTTCAAACGTTGTAGAAATACCTGAATTTCCTAAAATTTCTAGTTTTCCCTTTCTTTTCAACGGTTTTTATAGACTCAAGATTATTAAACATCTTTCTTTTTATCATTTTTCGAAAGGGTTAAATAGAAAAAATCTTACGAGTTATTTTTATTTCTAACGAAAAAAACTATAGCGAATCAGATTGATGAAAGGAATAACGTATAAATAATTCAAACGGTTTTTACAGGCTTAGGATTATTAAATTTCCTTCTTTTTAACGTTTTCAAGAAAGTTAAAAAAAAAAACTCGCAAGCTATTTTTATTTCTAACGAAAAAAAAATAGAATCAAATATATAATAAATGCATGGAATAACAAAAAATAAATAGTTTCCTTATTATGAAAAATATCAGGTAAGCACAGAAATTCGTACGATTTTTTACGTTAAATGTAAAATACAGGAAAGAAATACTTGTCAAGTCAGAAGCTTATAGTGTGCGCGTAATGGCGCAGATTGAAACTTGCGCCAATTGTTGCAACATAAAACAATTCATAGAAGCGTATAAATCAAGAACCACGCCAATGTTCTCAGTTATTATCTGATGTAACAGAAAGAAGTTCGCGCGAGAATATCTTTATCTAAGATTTTAATCGCATCATTACAGAAGTCTCTCGCATTCGTATGAACTTAGTCGACCATTAATGACTTCTTAAACAATTTTCTTATGAAACCGTTTGTATTTCGTATGAAGTTTAATTTAAAAAGATTGATTTATCCTGATAATTTTATAACTTTACCGGAAAAAACATTATATATATATATATATATATAATAACATACATTAGAGAAATAATAACTTTTGCCTTATTCTTTTCTATAAAAAGTAAAATTGAGATTAGATTATACAATATTCTACATATATAATTATATTTTATACAATCGTTACATTTATGTATAATTATATATGGAAGATTTTTGCTCATTTTCTCAAACTTTCCCATTGTTCTTTTTGTAAAAAATAATAATAATTAAAAGATAATTAAAGGGATTATTTTCTCATTGTTCTTTTTGTAAGAAAAAAACAATGGAAAAATAATCCTTTTAATTATCTTTTAATTCTTCTTCTTATTATTTTTCTTGTATACATATATGAACAGAGATTATACGAGAGAAAGAAAACATATTTTATATAATTATATTTGAGAGATTTTTTTCCCGAGTAATTAATCGATTATTTTTACACTACGCAACTAGCCGACTAAATTAAGTTTTTATATAAAATTGTTTATATTATATTATATAAAAAGTTCTGAAGAGTATAATTGAAAAGATTCAATAGCCATTTGGATAATTTTAATTAAAATACGTTTATAGTCTTATTTAATTGTTCTAGATTGTAACAAATTACATAGCGCACAAACTACCGCGGCTCTGGCTGTGATATTCAAATATTAAAGTTTTTTTATTTTATTCAAAAGATCCTTCATATTCTTATTTATTATTAAATTAAAATATTTTTAAATCATGTAGAAAGCTATAACATATCGACTAAGTTCATCCGAATATCTCTCGCGTGTTCTTTCGCGAATCTCGCTGATGCTAAAATTTATCTGTCACAACGATCGATTCAATCGAAATGCGAACGTACCCGATTCACTCTCTTTGCCATCCTCTTTCATCATCCCGACGGAGGCAAGAAGCACAGAGACTCTCCAAAGATCCAACATCCAACGATTCGCGCGGGTCTCCCTCGGACTCGGGCAAGAAGGACATTTCGATTTGACGAATGATGAGTTGACGACGTCATGATGATTGACCATAAACGTCATAAACCACACCACAGCGTCCACAACCACTCGCAGCGACTCGCTTGGAGCTTTTCTACCGGAGCGACCAATCGGAAGGTCCCGCGTCGAGTCGACCAATCGGCGACGTGGGCGATCGCGAGTGCCACTCACGGGCGACAGAAGTTTCGCGCAACCTCGAATGCGGCGCCCTCTGCGCCAGTGCGCTTTCCTCCGCAGATAGTGAAGATAGTCGCCGCTGATCCTCGATCCCGCGCAGTAGCGGTGTTTATTTACGTTCGCCATCGCGACGTTTTTCGGGCCAATTGATCCGCAAATCTCTGCGCGCACTCGAGTGCCACGGGATCGCGACGCGATTCCTCGTCTCCTCGCGTCAACGCCGAGCCGCGTTCACGCGGAGCGCGGTGCAGCACTCTACGACGAGATACAGTGACGGAAGACGGAGAAGGTGGAAGCGGCGGAGGCGGAATCGCGCGTCGGCCACCGAGCGACCTGTCACCCACGTAGGCGCGCGCGCCAGCCATCGCCGTCGCGCGGTTGCACCGTGCGTCGTCATCGCCGTCGGCGCCGCGTCGCTCTAACCTAGCCCGTAGCCGAGACTCCCCCGTCTACAGCTCCCGCTGCGCTCGTCCTCGGATCCCTCGCACGCGCACGGCGCGCCTGCCGTCAGCTCGATGCCGCGCCTCCGCTGACGGCAAGCCCGCGACGAGTAGTAGTATGGGCGACGAGGACGACGTGCTGCCGGCGCGTCTGCAGAGGCTCGAGATCGACCGTCGCTCGACGAGTTGTCCCCAGTAAGCATCGCTCCGCTCCGTTCTCGACTAAAGCGTCGTTAAACGTATCGCCGAGATACGTGCTCTTCCGAGGTCGACGATGATCCTGTTGTCTGTATTGGCGAATTTCGAGGCGTCGAAAGGCATTGCGAAGTCTCTCTTCTGAAGTCCCTCGTACACGTGTCAAAGATTAAAACCTTGAGCTAGTGGTTTCAGGTCTATTTGAAGCGCCCCCCCTCGCGACGCCGCGATGCAAAATGAGTAGTCGATGATTCTGGAACACGTGTGACCGATGTGAGAGCGTCTGTGATTTTTGACAGCGACCCCCTGATTACTGCAGCCTCACCATGACTCGACATTTGTATCGTACGCGAGATTTCGTTAATCGAATAGTTTCTTTTTAGTGTTTAAGCGTCGTCTACAATGGCAGCAGGAGTATACAGTAAGACGTAAGCAGCAAGCTATTGACCAACTGTAGTCGATTATTCTTGAATTGCAAAAATCCCATTAGTCAATAACTTACTGCTTACGTCTTACTGTATACTCCGGCTGCCATTGTAGACGACGCTTTAGAGCGACGGCAACATCACTGCGAGATCTGTATCTGACCTGTAAGAGATAATATCGAACCCATAGAAGAATTTCTGGTACAACTCAGAAATTCACTATTTTCAGGAGAGAAGAAATAAATTTAATTCAATTTGTTTGAATTGTGAGGTAACTAACACAATTACAATTATGTTATTTTGTTTTATATGTAATGGAACTTATACTGTTTCTTGAAAAGGTCTGGTGTGATTCAATTCACTTATAATACTATTCATCCAGGAAACCGCAACATGAATGGTTTAAAAGAATAACGACAATTCTGCTCCTCGCAGTGGATTTCACATATAGGCTTGTGACATTGTTATAGTACATTAACATGACATTTTAGGTTTTAGGCATACTTTTTATCGGCTTAACTCAAAATCGAAATTTTTTTAGTTGTGATTCTTCTAGGGGTACGACATCATCAAATTGATTGAATACTTCAGATAAAATAGGATTGAATACTTTAGAATCTTTAGATAAAATAAGAATTGGTCGTAGACTATTGTTCGTGAACAGCTAGACACAAGTCAACGAGTTTGATTTTACAAAAATTTGCAGATATAACATGATGAAGTTAGTGTTGCGTCTCAGATTCACTCAACGCTTCTCTAACGGTATATTAAGGCTGCATTCGGGGAGCGCGCTATTAGCGCTATTTGCTTATTCTATCCTTGTTTTACATTTAATGAGCGATAAAGTTAGAATGATACAATAGCGCTAATAGCACGCTCTCCGAATGCAGCCTAAATAGCGCTACAGCATGACAGAATGAAAGTCATCAATGAATATATGATACTTGACTTCTTATCTGAGATCTCTTCAACGCTGTTTACTGCTTCTGTAGTTATAAATGGTTTAAGTTGCAACAGCGAGCCAACAAAGCGGCGACAACAAAGTGATGGACTGTGATTTATCGGTCATCATTGGCTGCATTCCGATATTCACTGTCAGTACTGCAAATCTATATTTTACGTCACGTATACTATAGATTTTCAGTACTGAAAGTTGCTGACAGTGAATATCGGAATGCAGCCACTATGTCTAGCAGCCGAGTTTCTTTGTCAATCGGCATGTCTCCTATTGGCCAATCGAGCTATCGAAACTTCGCGGCGGTGTATACATACTTTTCGTAATCGCGGTCAAGGTCGGCTAGTAAACGCGACGGTATATATATATATATATATATTTACAATGCACGCGTTTCGCCGTCCGTCAGAAACTGTCGTCGATTGCGCGATCGGATTCTCGCGGCTCCCGTCGTGCCGGATGAAGTCGAGTCGAGTGAAGTTCGGCTCGATTCCATCTGGAGAAACGTTTAGACGCTCTATTTTTAAACCTGTAGACACCGCGATGCCGGAAATAACAGTTTAGCAACGTCGATAGTAGACTTAGGAGAGACAAATCGATGAAGGGTACGGGCATTGGCGAATTATGAAACGGTTTCTTTCAGAGGCTTGTGAGGCTGTAGTAATGTTTATGTGATCTGCGATCAGTGCGATTGGATAGAAACTTGTACGTCTTCCCGGAGTCCTCAATGGTAGACGGCTAAGACTTCAAATACTGCCGCTTGTAACTATAAAGCTTCGGTTTTCTAATTTTCATTGTTACACGCCTTAAAATATTTTATAAGTTATATCGCAGATTCGCAAGAGAGAGAATTGTTTAAAAAGTAAAAATTGCGGACATGACGTTTTAGCGCATTTTAATATTAATATCTATATAATATATAATTTAATCTAACAAAGTAATTTTTCGTTCTTTCAGCATCGCAATGGCAGACAAATCAAAGCCGATGAATCTATTCAGGATATTCGGCGAGGGTTCCAACAGAAACTGTTTATTCCGAAGAAGATCTGCGCCTAACAGGCCTACCATGTTCCCAGTCAACCCGAGGGGTATCAAGAGTACAACGAATTTCAAACCGTCTAAGAACGAGAGAACGGTCGAGAAGACCAAGAGGAGCACCATCCTAAGGGACGCCATTCTAAAGTTAAGCGCTCCCGGAACTAGCGGTCTTAGTGATAACCCAGTAGATACGCTGTTCAATAACACGTGTAAGCTCAGTATTCCCAGTAAAAATTCCAAGATAATCGACCACAATTCGGTCATGAAGGACTTGGAGGCGCTGAAAATCAGTAAAGACAATAGGCTGGTCAAGGACGACACTAGTATTCAGGATGACGATTGCGAGGGCGCAGGTGGCTTCCACCGTGCTCGCAGTAACACGATGCCGAACCTAAAGAGGGGCCCCGGCCCAGGCGGCGGCGAACAACGGACGACGACGGGCAACAGTGGACAGTCGGATGCTAGTGGCGGTTCATCCGGCCAGCAACAATTATCGAGCTCACCGAACACCTGTTCGATTCAGGCGCGAATATCGCCGCCCTTGTCGAGCGACGTCACGATCGGCGAACTCGCCGGCTACTTCGAAGAGTTCGTTCATATTCCAAAGAAGATGTCGCATATGGCGGAGATGATGTACACTTAATAATTGTAAAGTATCTTGGAATTATTTCATATACCGAATGCAGACTTTCTTTCTTTTTTGTACCCAGTTTATTCGAGGCTGCGTACACTTCACTCTCCATATACGATACCGTATCTCTTTTATTCGTCTAATTTAATTTCCTAAATTATTTTTTTAACGTACCAGTAACGTCACCGGCAAGAAAAACGTTTACTCTCGCTCCAATTGTGTATAGTCCCGAAATTGTTGAACTATTTTATATAAACATTCGGAAAAGTGTAGCGAGATATCGATGTACTTTCTTCTGCATTGTTTCTTTCGTTTTTTTTTACATCATCTTCGTGCACGATATTTGGTTTCTTTAGTGTATAAAAGGGAAAATGGAATATTATATTATCTGTATTTAAAAAGAAAACTTTTGTATTACGAGAGAAGAATAATTGGTTTTAGAATAAATCGTATGAATTGAAAAATCGGAGTATAAATGCACCCATACAATCGCTAGATATTTTTACATGTGCATTTATGCACACATCTTCGCATATACATCACCTTTTGCACTTACTCGTTTAATTAACACATAAAAATTTCCGTCCTAATCGAACGAAGAAATTCTTACGTAGGGCGCCAATGAGAAAGAGCGGCATTAATATGATACATAATATATTTATCTGCATAGGCTTACGACAATTAATATAATAATAACACAAAGTAATCGTTAAGTTACTTAATGATAATAAGCTTTGGTATATAAACAATGACAACAGTGTATTGATCGTTTTCGCTTTAGGTACAATACGAATGAAAAATGCACGTCGACGCGCGGTGATGAAACGTGTGACTTCACGACGTGAAGAAAACTCGAACGTAAGAAAGCCGGGCGTACGAGAAAAATTATTTTTGGTGTGCGCATCACGTGAGACGACTCTGTTCTGCAAACGATTATATTAATACGATAATCGTGGATAATCATCGTCCTCCTTTGGCGGCGCGGTGCTCTCGTGGTCGCCGCGAGATGACAATGTCGATCTTTTTTGTATCAAAACGCGTGAAAGAGAGGGAGAGAGATAGATAGAGAAAGTGGTCTGTCCCTATATCACAGATTTACCGAAAATTTCATTTGAACGGGGGCCACGAATAGGAGTACACTGTCTCCGAAGAAGGCGTCGCGAAATCCACGATTAATGGAGAGCATAATTTTTCATTAAGTACAATATATGCGTATACTCGCTGATTTCTCGCCCTTTCTTAGGTCACCGTATAATTTAAACCTCGTCATTTGCAAATAAAGGACGCGGGAACAATACGTCCGAGGTGTTTCCCAGTAAATCCCGTGACGCACAATTACGTCATTATCAATCGTACGAGAATTAATTACAAAATGATCACACCAAAGATTTGAAAGAAATGCTCATTTGCAAGTTAGTGAAATTTACGGCATCCGATATTTAGAGAATATAAAACATTCTCGTATGTATATATTCGTAAAAAATTTCAATCCTCATGCTGCTGCGCTCAATCAATCAAAATCTTATTATATACAATTATACGCGATCGATAAAGTATACAGCTACTATCGGATTTAGAACAAAACAAGCCATTTCATTTAGATATTTTGCGAACGATCGGACGTAAGATTCCCGACAGCACGCGGGCTTCATTTAAACAATATCAGTCTCTATATCCAGTGGAAAAAGGCCACGATGCCTTTCACTATAATAATTTGTAAATACATGGTCCAAATGTGATCCGAATGAAACAGTCTACGCGAATATATATACCATATAACGCAAACGCTTCGCATCGCCTCGAAATCATTGCTCTCCTTTCAACATGAAAATCCGCAAGACATCATCCGAAATACATCCGAAAGGCGGTTTAACTTTTCAATTATCCAGCGAACGCCTTTCAGACATTCTCCTGATGTTGTCCGGATGTTTCTGTCGCTTAGATCGTTCCTGTTGAGCTCGCATCAGTTCAAACCCCTACGTCTTTTTTTCTTTCTTTTTAATCTACGACCTACGGTAGCGATCATGATTATCATCATCATCATCAGCGAAATTTCCAAGTAATCGTCTATCATGAGAAAACAAGTTTATCATCGGTATAAAACGCTCATAGAAAAAATGTACTGGACGTAATACACCTACTCTCTAACGCTAACGTAAACGTGAACGCCTTTTCACGCGCACTCTTCCATGCGATGTCGCTATAATTTTTATTGGAAATATGCTACGTACCATGTAAACATCGCGGTGAGGATTTCTCTTACGGATACTAGGATCTTCATAAAATAAGGACTGCCGCGATATCAAAGTCTATCCAAACAACGTGGGAGTCCGAGAGACGTCACAAAGACATATAACGTTGAAAAGACGTTAAAACGTCTTCCAGACATTTGTGTATTATAATTGCAAATGAGCCAGACAATATTTTACAAATTGTTATAATTTCTTCACAAAAAAGAGGCGTCTGGAAAACGTCGATGTCTTTTTGACTTATTTGTTAGACATTCGTGTCGTTTAGACTTCTTCGGCCACATCATGATTATTCCGACACTTCCACAATAATATATGCATTGCTGATAACAGATAGTTAATTGCCATATTAATGACTGTCGTTTAGATTGTATAACGACAGTCATTGATATGTTATGTTCATTAATTTTCTATTTCTTATTCCTTTAAATAAGATGTCTAGTACTCGAAATCGCTTCTTCTTCTGTTACGATCTCCTACGTGAGGATATGAGATTGATATTGCAGCAACATTTTAACTTAACCGCATAATAATCGCTGTGTATATATGGGTTTACCGCGTTATTGCTCTCTCGTTTAGTCGCAGTAAAATACACATGAAAAGAGGATCACGCTGACACGGATGTAACAATTTTCTACGCCCGCATGCGCGCAACGCACTCACATTTTGTTTTCACTTTAATCACTAATATCTATCGTATCGTAATGGCTCATCGCGTTTATCGTGACACAGTAAAATGTAAACGTTCAAGATCGATCGCACCCACAGTTTCGCTAGCCGGCTCTGGGTAATTTTTTTTTCTTTGCAAATCAATTTCTGCTACGATGTAGAAAGAGATAGGAAAGGGGAAATCGATTAACACATTTACAACGAACAAACTTGAAGCAGAACGTCTTAGATATAGGATTTCATAACATTTACTTTTTGTATCATCTTTGGCCACTTTAATTAGTAGGCTCTCACTTTAATTAGTAATTAAACGTTTCTTTTGTGCCGTTATTTCAACCATAATGTAGCTAAAGGGAAAAATTAATCATCACTGTCAACCGACTGTGATGCAATCAACACAGATTGCCTGACTCAGCTGATTGCATCAACAATCATGGTTGAGTAATTCCAGTTAATTATTCGCTGTCCTTTTCAGATTATAGGTCTAGCCAATCTGCCTACAATGTAGCTCGAGAAGCAAAAATGGCAGTACTAATTAAGGTTTTTTTTTACATTAAGGCTTTATTCGCCCACCGTGCACTTTCTTGACACAGACGGTGTTTGATATTGCATCCAACAGTAAAATATCTTCTCGGCATCTCTCTGTTACAATACTAATTAACAGTCTATTTCATATACTTCTACATCTTTATCTCTTCTAAAACGTTAATCGTTGGTTGATTAGAATTAAGAAATAATTCAGAAAGACAATGACGTTAACACCAGAGCTGGCTTTAATCGACGTCGGTGCAATCGACTCAATCTCGGGTCTCGCGCGCGTAACGTGGCCTCGCAGGGACGATGAATCCTGGGGTGTCGGAGGCGATTCTCGCTAGAACACCTTTTTCGAGCACCGCGAGGAGAGCAAAGTCGCCGATCCGCCAACGAGACTGTCACGCTTATCGTCTAAGTAATCCCTATTCTAATCTCTGTCGTTTGTATTTCCTTCCTTTCCTCTTTAAGTAGAAAATTTACAATTTTTCAGACACTTTGTACGAGTAACATCGATGACTTAAGTTTATCCGAAAATGCATTTCCGATTTATCCCGACGCGAAGCCCACCGCGTCGGCTTACATCGCGAACACGGGCTTCGGGATATTTTTCTCTTTCCTTTCTTTTTTTTCTCTCAAACGCACTCAAACGCATTCGCACTTATCCGGATATTAGTAACTTTCTCGCCTCTCTCGTCTATCATAATTTTTTATACCCTTCTTTTTTCTCTCTTCAACAAGACCAACGGTACTTCGCAAAAGAACATCGTAATTCAATTACACTATATAGCGACTGTTGAAATAAAAACAACGCATTGTGCGAGGTATTCGCTGCACTTTCGCAGGATACTTAAATCAAGTTTGGACATGCTATTTGAAACAACTTACGTACGTGAAAACGCCGATAATATTAAATGCATCGGTACGCTGCGTTAAAAAAGAACTATAAAAAAGAAGATCGAAAGCGGATACCATCGTAAATACAATCAGATCTGTTTTTGGCAGACACGTTTGGCTGTGTACACACTCGAGTTTTTTTGTCATCGAGGATCATTCTCGGAGAATAAGTTAACAAGTTACTACCGAACTCACTCCCATGACATAAAACTCTCGACTGAAGATTTTTTTCTTAGTCCAAGTGGATGAATCTCATTGCCTATTTGCGTGCGTTTTACAACCGAAATGAAATTATTGCTTAGCAATAACAGGAAAGCGCACGTATACACGATTCTTAACACTTAGGAGGAATAAACCGTCGAACGTTTAATATCGTCTCGAAAATAAGCTTCGACTTGTGCGCAATAACCGTTCCAAATGAGAATTCTCTTCCCGAGTTCCTCTTAGCGGACAAATTAACGCGAGAAATCTATATAGACGTCCTTTACATTTAATTTTACATTTTACATACGTCCCCGTTTGAAAAGTCATGCGTTCATGATAGCGTTTCGCTACAAACAGTTCGTACGAAAATTTGTTCCGAGGACTACAGTATCCAAAAACTGGACTTTAGGAAAATTCGGATGTAACCGTGATCCGAGATCAATAAAATATAAATACAACATGCTCTTGTGTGACAAAGTCACAAATTCACAATACGCGCGAACACGCATACGCATACACTCCTTCACTTTCTCTCTTTTTCATTCTATATATATATATATATATCTCGTAATCGTATGCTAACATACTAATATACGATTATATTGTATAATCTATAATTCCGAACTTTTACTTCCAAACTTACATCACGTTACTCTCTAATACCGTGATTTGTGTCTAAATTTACTGACATTGCTAGCATCTTTATTGTAGTTCCTCATCGTCAAAAGTACGAAAATGCGCTTAAGTGATCGCGAATTTTACGGGCAGGCAAAACGACTCGCCGGTGCTACTACGAGCCTTAAGATTGCAGTCGTTTCTCGTTTCCGATTCTAAATATTACGGTTAACGCCTGATTGGTCATGAAGATTAGAATCTTGTCAATTCGTTCCTGCGAACGGTACTTACAAAACACCATGGCACACTCAACTTCCAATCCGTTTAACGTTTTTAGTGCTTAACACTAAAGGACATAGAAGGACATATAAGGACAAGGTAAGGGAGAGAGGAGAAAAAAGAGACGAGAGAGAGAGAGAGAGGATGAAATTTTCGGCAGCATTTGACAGTGATAGTTCGATAAATTCGCGGCACTGTTTCTGGTGAAGATTGGTCGCTAAAATCTATAGAAAAATTTCGCAGTCGAAAAAATGCCACCCGCGACAGCAATGCGGAGTATCGCGAGGACGCGTATGTGTTCTCTCACTAAAAGTGTTTTCTCTCCATGAGGACGATGCACCCAGTCCGCGAAGGTTCCGATGAGGGTAGCGTGATACATGCTAAATGGTTTACTTAGCAGTAAATACCATAAAATTCCATGGCACAATTGATGTGGGCTGGGTGAAAGTGACCGTGCGGCGGCAGATGATGATTTTGTATATATTGATGGGCTGTATATCAGTCCGTCGGCGGCTCGAGATACGGTATTTCGCTAGTGACGTTGAACGACTCGAAATAGTGATTCAGGAACTCGAACGTGGGCCGCTTCTCGGGACTGGCGTCCCAGCACTGCAGCATCAATCGGTAGATACTGTCGGGCAGCGGATGGTTCAATGGTTTCGGCATACGGTAGCCCTTGTCCACTTGCTCGATCACTTCACGGCCGTGCATACCTAAAAGAAAAAAATTAAGTCATGCAGATAACAAGGTACACGCTTAAAGTACTTATTAACAAGTGACAAGTAAAAAGGGCTTTGAGAGGACAACGCGGTTAACAGTGCGTGAGTTAATGTTATCAATCTTTAATAACTAACAGGATACATAATTATACAGCAGAGTCAGCAGACGTTTCGGCTCTGTTTTGAGTCATCTCTTCAGCGATGTGTGGAAACAATTAAAATTAAACATTTTAAAAAATTATTTAAAATATTTGTAGATAAACTGAGAATACATATAAATAATATGGGAACGAAAGAACTTACCAGGATAAGGAACTTGTCCGTAAGTGAAGAGCTCCATCAACAGAATTCCGTAGGACCAGACGTCGCTCTTGATACTGAACCTGGCATAGACGATGGCCTCCGGCGCGGTCCACTTGACGGGGAATCTACTGCCCTGCTTCGGACAGTACTCGTCGTCCTCGATCACCCTAGCGAGACCGAAGTCGCAGATCTTCGCTTTGTTCTTCTCGCCGATCAGCACGTTCCTCGCTGCGAGATCTCTGTGTATGAGCTGTTTGCTCTCGAGGTATTCCATACCGGAGGCCACTTGGGCCGCAATATAGATCAAATCCTCGAACTGCATGTACTTGCCGTCTCCCTTTCGGAGAAAGTCCAACAGGCTGCCGTTACACATGTATTCTTGAACAATGTAGATGGGCTCCTCTTTCGAGCAGACCGCGTATAACGCGACCAGATGCCTGTGTCGGAATTGCTTCATTATGGCTGCCTCCTGCAGAAACGCCTCGGTCGACATGGTCCCTGGACGCAGCGTCTTCACCGCCACCTCGATTTTATTTCGCCACTTGCCGTAATAAACTTTGCCGAAATTGCCGTTACCAAGTTCCGAGATCAGTTGTATCTCGTTCCTGTTGATCTCCCACTTGTCGCGCAACTCAGGCCCGAGATCCCACATGTCCGGTTGCGGTTTTGGGCAGGGCTTCGAAAGCACGTGACAGAGACCCAGCGCGTTTTCTGAATAATGGAAATATCATCAAAGATAGATATCGCCCAGCACAGACATCTTATCTTTGATTTCATTTTCGAGAAAACAGAGTATTTTTATTAATTAAAACACAAAAATAGATATATCTGTAAGATACTAATGCAAATATATTGCTTTATATAGGATAAGGAGGGGCTATTTAAGTCAATTAAAGAAAAAATCGGATACAAAATTTTCAAGATAAAAAACTCCTTCCTACCCTGAAAATTGAAAAGCTCCTCCCTGTCTTGAAAATTTTTTTATTCGATTTTTTCTTTGATTAACTCAAATAGGCCCTCCTTACCCCATATTACGTACATTATTTTATTTACTATTATAAATAAATGCAAGACTTACTGCTGTATGCCATAACCAGAGCCGGTAAGCTGGAGAACGTTTGGTTGGTGGCGATAAAGAAGCCGCCATTGTCGAGCGGTTTAATCTTGTAGTGTTTCACATGATGGCCCCTTCCTTCCTCCCAATCCTTGACCGACAAGCTGTAACCCCGGGGATTGTGCTCGCTCGGCCTCACCAAGAACGTACCGCGGGGATTCTCGTCGACCAGCAGCAGCTTGCCCGCCTCCTTGCGCGACACATTCTCGAAGAACCAACTGCGAAGAGAGCGATATTAGGTACACAATATCTCTTATCGAGAGGCGCAACGAAAGGGGACCGAGGGAGAAGAATAGAAGATAAATGCTCACTCTTCGCTCTCGACCGACCGCTCGACAGCCACGAAGTTCCAAGGGATCAGGCCTTCCTGCAGAGTCGTTAAGTGCAGCACTCTCCACCAGTCCGGCTCGGAGTCGTCGAGGACCTCCATTCGGTCGCCTTTCATGAAACTAACGTCGGTGCTTTCTCGCGCCGTGTAATTGTACAGTGCCACCACGATCTTGTTGGATCTCTGTGAATGCGCTGCATCGGCAGATAAACAGTGCGTCTCGTTCAAATTGTTCCCCGGGCAGGAAGAGAAATCAAAGAACCCGAACCGGTTAGAAGTGATTTAACTTTAAAAGACTTGGTACGAACCAAGTTGACTAAAGGGTTTCTAATTATTTTATACAAAAAGCGATAATAATCGAAGAAATGTAACGTTTCGCATCTACATTGAATTTATATTTCAGCTGTTTTATATGTTCAAAAAACTAGTATAATTGTTATAAATTTTATGTTTTGATGTCATAAACATAGAAGCATAAATTTGATAAAAGTTCCTTTCTTATTGTCAAGAATACGTATAGAGATCGCTTTTTGCATCGGAATGATCTAATTAAAATTAAACCGGTTCGAGTGAACGGCAAAGCATTTAAAACGGGTCGAAACAATGACTACTAAACGCTAAGCGGTTTCACAATAAAACGTAAGGCTACTTGCGAAATAAGATTCTATCTTGGTCCAGACTTGGTCGTTCTACGGAAGCAAAAAGGAGAGTAACATAAAATACACACATGCAGACTTAACAGGCGGATTCGTTTTACGGGGTTGCTGATGCGGTATCTGTAGCTTACAGGGTGTCGGCCTCGGTCGGATAATATCCGCCCGAGCTTGCACGCCTCTCTGATTTGGGTCGGCGGTGTATCGGTCCAAGGAACCTCCATTGCTGTGCTTTGAGCTGAGTCCCGTGTCTGCTTTCTTATAGCCTGAATAGAGAGAAAAATCCGTCTCTCATCAAGGAAAACCAATCCGATGAGTAATCTATCTTTTGTCTCTGTGCACTAAATATTACGAATTTTTAATATATGAACTCGACATTTATACCTCGCCCGAGATCCGAGATTATTATTTTCATTGGGAACTTGTCCCGGAAACCAGCATCAACATATAAACGTTTTTATGTAATCAACAATTACCATCCTATAGCATAACCACTCGCGTATTACTGCATCCAGCCTTTAAGTAAACTTAAATAAAAAAAGGGAGACGGATTTTTTAGTTCCTCGAAAAATTAAATCGGAAAGATAGATCGGATCTATTTGATTCAATAATTACGGAGATGAAAAGGGAGACTTTAATCTCTTCTTCTACTGATGGTGATTTTGGCAACAATCATACATCTTGCCATTATTATTAATCATTACAGTGATGAAGCGATAATTACTTCTACATACAGTGCGTAATAATCGATCGCAATTCAACTCACCGATCGGTTGAGACTCTTGCCGTTTGCTGCAACACTTCCCCATGCTGGATCTCTCGTTCCTGGTCTACTCTCTGCGCGAGTCCTACGCACCCTCTATCCTGGACACATTCGCGGGGCAAGCCTCCATCGTCTCGTTGAAAACTCGGCCGGACGGCCGGAGATCGTGCCGGCGGCGACGAGGTGTATATATCGCTACAAACTCTCAGAGTCCTCTCGTCCGTCCGCCCATCGCCGGATTATCGGACTCGCCGCTCCTGCAACATAAGGCAGACGAGATCTGTCATGATTCCGATCGGAGGATTATTATCGCGACAATGGTCGCAGGGTGCAGCGTCACGACCAAGGCCTACGAATTGCAGTCACTTGACAACGGGAAGTCGCTATGCTCCGATGAAATCGGTGGACGCGATTGCGAAGTCATCGCGAGGGCAATGATTAACTACAATGTCAGCGACCACGTCATCGCGATTATTATCACTTTTATCGTTTCTTATTGTTATTACTCTCTGATTATTATCGGCTGATCGAGTCGATCATCACAATTCTCCGAATAAAATAAAATTTTATTGGAAAATTTGTTAGAAAATGTTCAAAAGACGTCTGAAATATTAGAATGCCTATATGACAGCTTCTTCTCTCAATATTCGTAAAGATTTTAAAATTAATATGATTTTCTGTGTACATATATTAAGATTAATCAATTTAACACTAACGATGTACAACTAGACGCTATTATCTCGAGAAGAAGTAACATCAGCCAAAATTCCGGAGCGATGAGACAACAATAGGGACGGACGAGCGCCGTAAAAATCGAAGCTCGCGGCCGATTTTACTTAACACGGTATATCCACCGCTGCTCCGACCGAGGGAAAATATCCATGCAAAAAGAAGAAACCAATAACTACGGGGGACTGTCGATGCCAAGCCGGCTACCAGCATGGTCGACGTGCCCTTCCGATTATCTCCATATCATTAAATAGAACGAACGGCCCTCACCCTCACCAGTAGCGTACCCGGAGTTTTTAATTAAACAGCTGAACCAAAGGAAAAAAGGAAAAGGGACGTAGGATTTTCGAGCAGGGAGATACGTATATGGGGTGTTCGTATTGATGAATGTTATATCTGACGATATATCTGAAATCGGAAAGCATGAAAGTTTCTCTTTGAAATGAGTCGAGATGCAGGTAGTTTTTGAGTTTTCAAATATAGATACCTATTAGTCATAAATATGAATCAATACTTTGTGCCTAGAAAATCGAATATTCATTCAAATTGATTTCAACTCTAATTTTTGAAATATTTAATGAAAGAACAAAATTTCAGTGACTTGCGCTTCATGGCTATAAATAAGTGACAAGTTTATCTTCTTTTTAATTTAGGCTTTCGCGGAAAAGAAATCGTTTCAGTCAACAGAGACAACATGATCGTCCCGATTAACGAGACGCGTCTCTTGCCGAACACCCCGTGTGCACGGGTTTGGGAAACAATCGTCCGGAATCGATTTGGATGTGGGTCGGTTCAACCCCAGTGCCGAACGCCGCGAAAGCATGGCATACGACTACCGGGGAGTCCCCCGTTCGATCGGCACAGCCCGACTACGGGCTATAGGACAACTCGAGTACACCATCCCTGGTCTCCTCTGTGCATGTGCACGTGTATGTGCCCTATGCAACGGGATAATACATGAGTAGCGAAACGGTCGATATCCTACAACGTGTATTCGTATATACTACGACGTCACACTCGCCATCCGGTAGAGCTGCTTTTACGTGGCGAACAATGCGCTATCGTGGACAAAGACGTATTAACGTTATAGCGCCAGGGCGAAACGTCCTGATCGTGCCGTCGTTGGCCCCGTCTTTAAACTACTGAACTGACAACTGTTGGGTCTGGTGATAGATCGGAGAAGGACCGATTTGATTTGAAAAGCTAAAATTTGATTTAAGTTCGCCAACTTTGAGCGCTTAGAGACAAGTTTGATCGAGCGAATTTTTCGCTTGTAATCTAAAAAAAAAAAGATAATATGAAATAAGTTTACTCAATATATGCTTCTGATACAATCTGGCCTTAGAGAGACTTAATTTAAAACTTATTTATAGTTATTATCGTGATATATTTAAAATATAGCATTTTCATTAACAAGATTTGTATTTTTTGTTTAATAAATTATAAATTAATTGAAGAACCCCATCACTCACATAGAATGCGAATTTCTATTCGATATACACCGTTAATAAATTCGTAATGTCAATTTGAGTCATTTTTAACAAACAAAAAAAAATATTGTTAAAAATGGATACTCTGTGTTCTGTGTTAAAATAATAAATTTCGATACACATAATAGTTAAAAATAACAAAATGTTATTTGACTCAAGGTATTGATTTAAATTTCATTTTTTAATATTTAATAGTGGTATAACTTATTTTATTCGATAAAAAAGAATCCTTTTTATCTAAATTTCGCGGTAAAAAATTGTGTTCTTATCGTTTCTTTGCACGAGATACTATGCGATAGGATTGAATCATGTATACCTTCCCGTTGAAATCCCGGGAAAATTGCTGCCCATTGTTATCACTTTTATTTCCGTTTCCGATTTCACGATACAACGAAGTGACTCTATCCGGTTTCGCATGATAAAGTATAAACGACAAACGTTTTAAGAACAGTGCGACGTGAAAATTTACCGTCCGACGACGCCGTGTGTACGGATACTAACCGTAAGGATAGATCGTAAAAGCGAGAGCGTTAGTTATTCTCGCCCGATACGAAGTCTCCCTCTTTCTCTCTCTCCCTCTCTTTCTCTTGAGGTAATAACTTTGTGTGTTGTTTTCCTATAGAACAACTTCCCACGTCGCCGATATAAAGCCACAAGGCGTAATCGAACGTCTTAATAACATTTAAAGCCGACAGCGGAGCAGTGTAAATTGTTTGTCGAAGCGTTATAAAAAGTACCTCAAACTCACTGAATATTAATTTAGGATCGATTTTCCCAATATCGTAACTACCGTAAATAAATCGTGAGCAGATTTTTTTTAAAGTTCTTCAACACTCGATTAAATCTCATAAATAATTTAAATAAATAAATTCCATAAAATACAGTACTTCTTTTTATCGCACAGAGAAAACAGCTGAAACCTTTGTGTCGGAAAAAGTAATTACGCAATGTGCCAATTAAAATGTATAATAAATCACTACTGTAATTACATTTAGTAGCCCGTAATGTGATAACATATTCAATTATTTCTAAATTTAGTTTTTATAAAATAATTTTTATAACGGTAATAGCTTTCTCTCTTGGTCAGAGCTGTTCAGAGAATACTTTTGCCTTTCAGCTATTAAAGTAAAAAAATGCGTGCACGCTCCTCCGTTGCTAATTTTATTTTCGTACTAATCGATAACGTTTATGCGTTCGAGGTACATAAAGGAGCAACCACAAAGATTGCGAGGTACATAAGGTAGATCATCGCGCGCGTTGAAATTAAAGGTAAAAGAGCCGGTATATGAATCTCACTCGACGCTATATCTCATTGTCAGTGGAAACATAAATGCGTCATCTTTCGCCGCATTGACTAAGTCCGTCAGCTAAGGTTTCACTTGGTGAGACACCTCATTGAAGTTGAGTCTTCGTGAAGATCAATAAGGGGGGGGGGGTTCCAATAAACTTATATTAACATTTTTTCATATAAATTATTGCGTATATAAAAATGTAATATGTCTTTTGGAAATTTCTTCTTGTTGACAAAACAAACGCATGGAGATCGTCGCGTGAATAAAGTTGGAATCTAGCGACAGGTCGCGTGTTGGAATTTGCAGATCGAATTACGGGATTCAAAACTTCCCGGTGTGACATGACGGGAATCGCAATCCATAGCAATATCTTATGAAAGGGTTGAATCTTGCGGTTCGATTTCCGATTCCAATTCGTTGGCCTGTAATCCGCCGTTTGATTCGGAGAGTTTAAGGTTTAATCTGAAAATCGTTTGATCGTTAAAACAATCCGGATTCAAACTCTTTGTTTTATTGTTCGTCGTATTTATAAGTAAGACACTCAAAATTTTATCACAATACGAAAGAAGATAATGTAATAATAAATTTATCTTTTTATGTATATACTTGTACTCTTTAAAAAATATTTTATTTTATGATTAAAATCTAATTATATTTATATAAGTGGATAATAAAAATAGATTCACAAAGTGCTTAATATTATTATAACGTCATTATTTATCAAATGACTTTCAAAGACAGACGTACATCTTTTCGATTATTACACAGAGAGAATGAATTTTATATACGAGCATATATACGAGATTAATATCTACCATAATAAACAAATATGAATATCTATTACAATAAAATATATAAAATATGTTTGATTAATTTTACTAAAATATATAGTAAAATTTTAATAATTGTTCAAAAATTACTAATGTGCTTGGTAATTTTTATTACGTTTTTTGTAAAATGTCTTTTGTATATATCAAAAATTCCTATTGTTACCGATAATATTTAATTGGTTGCCAAGTTATCCCACATTTGTAGTAAATTTAACGGTAAAATATAACGAAAAATTCTCTCCGTGTACTTTTTAAATCAGAAGGTTTAAATAAGTTGAACTTCGTTGAGCAGTGTAATTAGCGGATTTCCGTGAAAAAAAATCCTTCGTGACTATAGGAGCGGAAAAGCTGGTTGCGAATTATAAGAACTCGTCTCTCTTTCGCCCGAGCCAATGTTCCTCGATCACGAAGCAAAACGGAAATGCGTTATTGTCTACTTTTTCTCGTTGCTTAGAGGCAACACAGGCAAAGAGTCTCGTCGCGCGACAATGCGCGCCGTGTTCCGGTGTTGCGGAGCCGAGAGGACGTCCCTGCCTTCACGTTTTAATCCTTCGCACTATCAACTCTCCTTCTCGAGAAGCCCGTGATTTCGCCAAGCGTGTAAATCATAAAACATTCATCAGGCTGGCGTGCCGTGACGCAAACGAGGATGAGGTTTTGTTGTGCGGCAAAATGCACGCCGTTAGATCCTGTTTTCGCACCAATCCTTCGAACCGAGGGAAAGAGAGAGAGAGAGAAAGAAAGAGAGAGAGAGAGAGAGAAAGAGAGAGGACACTTGCTTCTTGCTAAATCCTCTAACAATAATATATTATATAGATCCTGACGCGCTACTTAACAGATAAGTTCACTTGAGAGGTTTTAGTCGGAAATTCAAGTTGACAGCGCTTAGGGCAATATCATGATAATTAATAATTAT